TCATTCGGAGACTTGAATTCAAATGACCTGAAAGCTTCATGCTTTCATATACATTTCGTATGTGTATGAATGTGTATGATGCTTTCACACACATTCCGAAATGACTCGAATTCAAATGACTCGAAAGGTTGATGTTTCCATAAAAAAATGCCTCCACCACATCACAGTCATGTGGTGGAGGCTGACTCCATACACAGTGATGTGGTGGAGGCTGACTCCATACACAGTGATGTGGTGGAGGCTGACTCCATACACAGTGATGTGGTGGAGGCTGACTCCATACACAGTGATGTGGTGGAGGCTGACTCCATACACAGTGATGTGGTGGAGGCTGACTCCATACACAGTGATGTGGTGGAGGCTGACTCCATACACAGTGATGTGGTGGAGGCTGACTCCATACACAGTGATGTGGTGGAGGCTGACTCCATACACAGTGATGTGGTGGAGGCTGACTCCATACACAGTGATGTGGTGGAGGCTGACTCCATACACAGTGATGTGGTGGAGGCTGACTCCATACACAGTGATGTGGTGGAGGCTGACTCCATACACAGTGATGTGGTGGAGGCTGACTCCATACACAGTTTCAAATGTAGATATGATAGAGCCCAGTAGGCTCAGGAACCTGTACACCAGTTGATTGACAATTGAGAGGCGGGACCAAAGAGCCAAAGCTCAACCCCCGCAAGCACAACTAGTCGAGTACACACATATACAAACCCACCCTAACCCTATTCATTCATGTGGGGACAGGATAGGACCTCATCACGGCTCTCTGCACACATACAAAAATCCAGTAGTCAACCCTCGTCTTTTATGTTAAATTTACGACACCTAATTGCCATAAAATGCATAGTTATCATCTGTGTAAAATGAGTTATAGTTCCCTTTTCCTCCCCCATTTCACATCCCCCCCTATCAGCACCCCAGAACTCCCCCCTCCCCACAATCCCCCCCCTATCAGCACCCCAGAACTCCCCCCTCCCCACAATCCCCCCCCTATCAGCACCCCAGAACTCCCCCCTCCCCACAATCCCCCCCCCCCCCCTATCAGCACCCCAGAACTCCCCCCTCCCCACAATCCCCCCCCCTATCAGCACCCCAGAACTCCCCCCTCCCCACAATCCCCACCCCCTATCAGCACCCCAGAACTCCCCCCTCCCCACAATCCCCACCCCCTTCCCATCCTCTTCCCTGGCATCTGGTCTACTAACTATTCCAACCGGAAACAGGCTTCCCACTGTGCGCCAGTACTGGCTATCGTGGCTAATTAAGATAGCAGTGTCTGGCTGCCTGGTTGAGCACCCGCCAGCCACGGAGACCGAACCGGTTAGGCCGGATACCGCGACTCCTGAGGTCAGGAAACATATTCCCGGCTATCCGGCTGTCCGCTTAACAGAAAACGGATTAATTTTCTCTCACTTGCCGGAAGTCTTATGTGCTTAATCCGGCCTTTCGAGTGTGGCGATTTATTTATTTATTCTCTAAATCCTCTAATAATCTTATCCTCTTATAATCTAATCCTCTTAGATTAGATTTTGTAAACGAATTGACATGATTCAATATTGTTAAGATCTTGTTTAACCGACTCTTGGACGTTTCGGTTATTTAATGAGGTGATTAATGTTATTTTGTGAAGATGATAAAAGTCATTTAGTAACCCCAGATAGTTATTTAAACGATGTGTTTCGAAACGCATCATTTATCATCCCGCCAAACACACACCGAAACTACGACGTTGGTACAACGTTGGAACAAGTTTTAACACCTAACCAGTTACAACAACCAATATAGCAAGTTGTAACAACGTTCTAATACGTCATAAACACGTTAAGCCAAGATATAACAACTTTATTACAAGTTGTAACAAGCGGAAAATAGAGACAGTTTCGGTTTGTGTTTCCAGGGAGGCCACTTGCTAAATTAAATTTTGGAAAGTGAATTTCTCAACTCCCTTCAAGAGTGACGAAGATTGAAAAAAAATATATGGTGGAATAACAATAATAATAGAATAATAGAATAATATAGGTTCGTGGTAGAGTAATTTATCTTTTTCGGCCATATTCAATAAAACATATATGTTTACTCTTGCCCGCACAGACACGTGCAATCAGGAACCCCGGGTTCGAATCCCGGGTGGGTTAGTAATGGTTGAGCACCTGGTTGATACCTGGTTGATGGGGTTCTGGGAGTTCTTCTACTGCCCCAAGCCCGGCCCGAGGCCAGGCTCGACTTGTGAGAGTTTGGTCCACCAGGCTGTTGCTTGGAGCGGCCCGCAGGCCCACATACCCACCACAGCCCCTTTCACCTAATGCCTCTGTTCACCTAGCAGTAAATAGGTGACGGTAATATAAGCCTATAGTATATAAATAGGCTGTCTCCAACAAAGGTTATATCATTATATATGATTTAAAGCTATTTAACAGTGTATTCGCTTGGATATAAATTATGGGGCATTGGAAATGAGGACATTTAATTGCAAAATTGGTAAGGATGGAAATGGCCAGGAGAGTCTATCCTCGCTTCTTACAGGTCTCTTACGGGAGCCGGTCGGCCGGGCGGACAGCACGCTGGACTTGTGGTCCCGGGTTCAATCCCGGGCGCCGGCGAGAAACAATTGGCAGAGTTTCTTTCACCCTATGCCCCTGTTACCTAGCAGTAAAATAGGTACCTGGATGTTGGTCAGCTGTCACGGGCTGCTTCCTGGGGGGGTGGAGGCCTGGTCGAGGACCGGGCCGCGGGGACACTAAAGCCCCGAAATCATCTCAAGATAACCTCAAGATACAGGTCACACTCACACATGTGCTAAACTAGGCCTACAAGGGTGTATATTTGGCCTATAATAGCTTGTTAAGGGCGACTTGTTAGTCGACTAAGGTAGCGTATGGGATCATCCCGGTTCGAACCTTCATCACGGCCCTTATAGATTTGTTCAGCTTGTTAAGGTCTAGGGGACAGATTCACGAAAGCACTTAACCCAAGCACTTACGAACCTGTACATCTTTACTCAATCTTTGGCGGCTTTGTTTACAATTATTAAACAGTTAATGAGCTCCGAGGCACCAGGAGGCTGTTTATAACAATATCAACAGTTGATTGGCAAGTTTTCATGCTTGTAAACTGTTTAATAAATGTAACCAAAGCCGTCAAAGATTGAGGAAAGATGTACACGTTCGTAAGTACTTGCGTAAGTGCTTCGTGAATCTGGCCCCAGGTTCGTAAGTACTTGCGTAACTGCTTCGTGAATCTGGCCCTAGAGCAGTATATTGTGTTCATTTATAGTTCCAATTTCTGGAAGACTATTTTGAGTATTCCAGTACAGCAAAATAGGTTTTCAACAATCGTTGTAAGACCTACAATTTTGGGGGAATTTCTACAATTTCATTGTACAATTAGTTTATATTAAATATATTTAAAAATTTTGCTAAGTATGAGCTATGAATTTGCACCTGTTTAGCCACAGCTGTGCACCTGTTCCACACAGGTGAGAAACCCACCAACCTCAGCTGATCATATTATTCAAATTAAAAATAAACTAAAAACTTAAAAATGCAATAATATAAATTCTCCGCAACGCAAAAACTAGAAAGATTTATATACTGTTAAAATCTTGTGGCTTAGAAAGCTGGCAAACTTTTATATAAACTTTATAAAGTTTATTTTTAAACTTTATTTTTATATAAACTTTATAAAGTTTATTTTTAAACTTTATTTTTATATAAACTTTATAAAGTTTATTTTTAAACTTTATTTTTATATAAACTTTATAAAGTTTATTTTTAAACTTTATTTTTATATAAACTTTATAAAGTTTATTTTTAAACTTTATTTTTATATAAACTTTATAAAGTTTATTTTTAAACTTTATTTTTATATAAACTTTATAAACTATATAAAATTATATAAACTACATATAATCAAGCTACATAAATAACTTGACAGTGTTTGAATTTCTAAAATTATGTTTTAAGATGTAAAACACTTTAGCAATTCTGTTTTCAGTTCATTCTGTAAATAGAACAGCTCTGTGGTTATCTGTAAATATTTAATCTTTCACTTTTGTCATTTACAAAATTAAAAAATATTAGTACAGCAGAATTCAGAATTACAATTTTTTTTTTTACAAATTTACAATTACAATTTTTTTTTAATTTCTATTGAATTATTACAGTCGGTTTTGTATTGGATTCTTAAAGTTAATGTTTTAAAGTGTTACATTTAGTCTACTCTTCATGTTAAGAGTCCAACCACTTGGGCAGGACGGTAGAGCGACGGTCTAGCTTCATGCAGGTCGGCGTTCAATCCCCGACCGTCCACAAGTGGTTTGGGCACCATTCCTTTCCCCCCGTCCCATCCCAAATCCTTCCCAGTGCTATATAGTCGTATTGGCTTGGCGCTTTCCCCCTGATAATTCCTTCCTTCCTTCCTTCATGTTAAGTGGGAATATCAACGAAAGAAATGAAAGCGTGAAGGGCAAGTAACCAACCACTTGAACCATCGAGGATCGAACACAGACCTGCAGAACATCTCGTCCCTCCTTAATACCAGTCAATAAGAATCAGAATATGTTCAAATTCATACATATACATAAATACCCAACAAAAAATAACAATACATAATAGAGACGACGACGTTTCGGTCCGTCCTGGACCATTCTCAATCGACTTGAGAATGGTCCAGAACGGACCGAAACGTCGTCGTCCCTTCAACTTCTAGTGTGTGGGCTGGTCAACATACTTCAGCCACGTTATTGTGACTCATCGCCTGCAATACATAATAGAATTCACAAAAACCACAATTACACAAAAAGTCATGGATTCAACGTCTTATTAATAACAGGATCCCAAAACTACCCAACACAACAATAATAATTAAATCTGTAGGAGCAGTGATGTGGGGCTCGAACCCTAATTACAGCCCCTACGGAGTTTCTCATTATTGCATTACGAAAGTATAAGTACTCTCTAATAATAATCATAAAAAATTAGAATAAACTAATGCTTCAACTCTCGATTAAACGTTGGTTCAAGATTGAAAATTCCATCTTCAGCAACAGAGATATCGACACTAGCAAAAGAGATATCCACACTAGCAACAGAGATATCAACACTAGCAACAGAGATATCCACACTAGCAACAGAGATATCAACACTAGCAACAGAGATATCGACACTAGCAACAGAGATATCGACACTAGCAACAGAGATATCCACACTAGCAACAGAGATATCCACACTAGCAACAGAGATATCCACACTAGCAACAGAGATATCAACACTAGCAACAGAGATATCCACACTAGCAACAGAGATATCCACACTAGCAACAGAGATATCCACACTACCAACAGAGATATCCACACTAGCAACAGAGATATCCACACTAGCAACAGAGATATCCACACTAGCAACAGAGATATCCACACTAGCAACAGAGATATCCACACTAGCAACAGAGATATCCACACTAGCAAAAGAGATATCCACACTAGCAACAGAGATATCGACACTAGCAAAAGAGATATCGACACTAGCAACAGAGATATCCACACTAGCAACAGAGATATCCACACTAGCAACAGAGATATCCACACTAGCAACAGAGATATCCACACTAGCAACAGAGATATCCACACTAGCAACAGAGATATCCACACTAGCAACAGAGATATCAACACCACCAACAGAGATATCGACACTAGCAACAGAGATATCCACACTAGCAACAGAGATATCGACACTAGCAAAAGAGATATCGACACTAGCAACAGAGATATCCACACTAGCAACAGAGATATCCACACTAGCAACAGAGATATCCACACTAGCAACAGAGATATCCACACTAGCAACAGAGATATCCACACTAGCAACAGAGATATCCACACTAGCAACAGAGATATCCACACTAGCAACAGAGATATCAACACCACCAACAGAGATATCGACACTAGCAACAGAGATATCGACACTAGCAACAGAGATATCCACACTAGCAACAGAGATATCAACATGATCAATATCAACACAGATATCAACGCAGCATATCAACAACAGCTTTCGTAACAGAACAAACATGAACAACAGGTGAAGCTTAAGTACCAATTAACTCCTCCACGCATCAAGAGCATCACATGTGTAATCATTACAGAGTTGGAGGCGGCAAAGGAGAACACACACACCAGTAACATGGTAGGAATCACAAACAGCTCTTGCAAGGACTAACAACAGATGGCCAGTGGAGTGCAACTTGCCACCTGCAACAAATTCCATCCCCAACACCCTCTATCATCCCCCCCCCCTCCTTACTCCCCACCACTCTCCCCCTCCGTCTATCTAAGCGCCGCGTCTGAGAGACTTCAACGCCGCTGAAGTAATTATCTCTATGATGCTCCCTGCTAGACTTTGATGTATCGCGTTATTTTCACCAACTCCTGCGCTGTGAGAGCTTTATAGCTGGCGGGAACGAGCACTATATATATATATATATATATATATATATATATATATATATATATATATATATATATATATATATATATATATATATATATATATATATATATATATATATATATATATATGTCGTACCTAGTAGCCAGAATGCACTTCTCAGCCTACTATGCAAGGCCCGATTTGCCTAATAAGCCAAGTTTTCATGAATTAATTGTTTTTGGCCTACCTAACCTAACCTAACTTTTTCGCCTACCTAACCAAACCTAACCTATAAAGATAGGTTAGGTTAGGTAGGGTTGGTTAGGTTCGGTCATATATCTACATTAATTTTAACTCCAATAAAAAAAAATACCTCATACATAATGAAATGGGTAGCTTTATCATTTCATAAGAAAAAAATTGAGAAAATATATTAATTCAGGAAAACTTGGCTTATTAGGCAAATCGGGCCTTGCATAGTAGGCTGAGAAGTGCGTTCTGGCTACTAGGTACGACATATATATATATATATATATATGTTTCATTGAATATGACCGCATATTCTGTATTTATTATTTTCTGGTTTAGGGCTTCTATCCCTCTAACTATTTTCTTAGCATCAGGGCTTAATTGGAATAGGAGTTCTCCAAAACTCATTTTCGTACTTTTAAGGTGAAGAAAAGAAGTGATTTACTATAGAGTGTATTACACTTATTTGTATAATTTGCACGACGTTTCGAACCTCCATGGTTCATTCTCAAGTGAACAGATCTTACAATACTAGTTGATTTTATACCCGCATTAGGTCAGGTGATAATACAATGAAGGTGAAAAACATGGGGGGATACATAAGGGATAAACATAGGGGCTGCAGAAGGCTTATTGGCCCATACGAGGCATCTCCTATCTAAACACAAAGATTAATCCAGTGTAATTGGCCTGTTATGTTGGACATTGTCTTCTGTGTTGGCATCGATATGTTCTTGTCTTGTCCTTACTCTCATGGTGGGTAGAGTAAATAGTTCCGTGATTTGGGTGTTCATGGTAGGTCGCTCTATTCTTATGTGAATTGCCTCAAGAATTTGTAATCTTCTTGAATCTTGGGTTTTGTCTATTATGCAAGTATTCTTGTTCAACATTTCTCTTGTTAGAGTAATGTCATGGGCTTGTCTCATGTGATTCCTAGGGGCACCAGATTGAAGATGGCATGTCAAACGCCTCGTCAGCTTGGTCGACGTCATACCTATGTACTTACATTGAAGGTTACATCCTTCGTGGGGGCAAGTGTACATGTATACAACGCTTGACTGCTGTAGAGGGTTCTCCGTCGGCTTCGGGCTGTTTTTGATAAGGAGTTCGGAAGTCTTCTTGGTTTTGTAGAATATTATCAGGTTTATGTTTTGGTTAGGAGTAGTGCTTTTTACTCCTTTACGGATTATTTCTTTCATTATTCTTTCCTCTTTTATATGTTCACTGTGCATGGTTGATTTGTAATATAATTTTATTGGGGGTGTTGTGGTTTCTGTTCTAGGTTCTGAATTATACCAACGGTCCAAGTGTCTTCTTATAGCAGCGTTTATTGCCGCGTTGCTATATCCGTTGTTCACCAATACCTGAGTTACTCTTTCAAACTCTCTACTCACGTTGCTCCATTCAGAGCAGTGGGTAAGCGCTCGACGAATATAAGCATTGAGAACACTGGCTTTGTATCTTTGGGGGCACTCACTTCTACCGTTCAGGCATAATCCTATGTTGGTGGGCTTGGTATATACGTTGGTGCTTAAAGAGGTTCCTGTTTTTGTTATTAGTACATCCAAGAATGGCAGACTGTTATTTTCACTATTTTCATGTGTAAATCGAAGTACTGACTCTCTCTCTAGGTGTCTTTTTAGGTCAATTAGTTCATCTGAGTCTTTTACTATTACGAATATGTCATCTACATAACGGCAGTATACAGTTGGTTTTTGTCTGCTACTGAAGACCCTATCTTCGATGGTTCCCATATAAAAATTTGCAAATAAAACTCCTAAGGGGGAGCCCATTGCTACTCCGTCTATTTGTAAATACATGTCTCCTTGTGGACTGATGAAAGGGGCTTCCTTTGTACATGCTTCGAGAAGACTTTTCAAGTGTGGCTCAGGTATGTCTAATTTGGGGGTGCTCTCGTCTCTGTATACTCTGTCCAGTATCATTCCTATGGTTGTGTCGACTGGGACGTTGGTAAAAAGGGATTCAACGTCCAGGGAAGCGATGATTCCATCGGGCTGGGTAGATTTGATCAATTCTAGGAAATCTGCTGATGATTGTAGACTAAACTTACTTGGAGTGTATGGAGTTAGGAGTTCATTAAGTTTCTTTGCCAGGTGATAAGTTGGGGTTGGTATTTGGCTGATTATAGGGCGTAGTGGGTTACCTGGTTTATGCGTCTTAACATTGCCGTAGGCATATCCTAAGCCATAGTCGCCTTGAAGTTTATTGAAATGCACACTACCTTTCTTTGCGTTGATTGCTGTAATTGTTTTGTTTACTTTCCGCTTAAGGTCTTCTACGGGGTTCCTCGTGATTCGTTGAAATTTGGAGTCGTCACTTAGGATGTCGCTAATTTTGTTCATGTATTCATGGGTAGGAATCAATACATATGCTGCTGTTTTGTCGGCTTTTCTTATTGTTACGTCTTTCAGATTTTTTAGTTGTTTCGCTGCTTCTTTGAGTCGTGGGGTTAAGATTGTAGATGAATATGTTCCTCGTTTTTTCCCTGCTTCTGCAAGTAGTTCAGCTTGAAGTGTGTCCGTGGTGATGACTTTTTTGTTGTCTTCTAGCTTATGGATATCGTCCAGAAGCATTTCGATTTCCAGGCGTTTTTGATGCATCTTTGGTTTAGATAAGAATTGACAATTTAGACCAAGATTTAAGAGGTCTCGTTGGTCCTGGGTAAGATCATAAGAAGTGTTAAAGTAGCCATCTACTTTAAAGTAAAGTAGCCATATCACGGAACTATTTACTCTACCCACCATGAGAGTAAGGACAAGACAAGAACATATCGATGCCAACACAGAAGACAATGTCGAACATAACAGGCCAATGACACTGGATTAATCTTTGTGTTTGGATAGGAGATGCCTCGTATGGGCCAATAGCCTTCTGCAGCCCCCCCTTATGTATCCCCCCATGTTTTCACCTTCATTGTATTATCACCTGACCTAATGCGGGTATAAAATCAACTAGTATTGTAAGATCTGTTCACTTGAGAATGAACCATGGAGGTTCGAAACGTCGTGCAAATTATACAAATAAGTGTAATACACTCTATAGTAAATCACTTCTTTTCTTCACCTTAAAAGTACGAAAATGAGTTTTGGAGAACTCCTATTCCAATTAAGCCCTGATGCTAAGAAAATAGTTAGAGGGATAGAAGCCCTAAACCAGAAAATAATAAATACAGAATATGCGGTCATATTCAATGAAACATGTTTGAAAGAAAACCTGCTGCCAGTTTACACCAATATATATATATATATATATATATATATATATATATATATATAGGCCACTCATCCTGTGAGTGGACACACCGCCATAGTGACAGTATTGGGCAGCGTCACTCATCCTGTGAGTGGACACACCGCCATAGTGACAGTATTGGGCAGCGCCACTCATCCTGTGAGTGGACACACCACCATAGTGACAGTATTGGGCAGCGCCACTCATCTTGTGAGTGGACACACCGCCATAGTGACAGTATTGGGCAGCGCCACTCATCTTGTGAGTGGACACACCACCATAGTGACAGTATTGGGCAGCGCCACCCATCCTGTGAGTGGACACACCGCCATAGCAGCATGTACAACACTCCCCAATAGGAAGAAAACCCGCTGGGTTGTTCATCCTGTCACTTGTAGCTATATACTTCTTACTGGTAAATACTTCATATTCAACAGAATACATTTCTTGCATTTTAATGCATTTATCGATATGTAGTGATCGATCAAAGAAACAATATTCACCAAGTTATCTTTAGGTTATCTTTAGATAATTTCAGGGCTTAGCGTCCCCGCGGCCCGGTCCTCGACCAGGCCTCATTTATGTTACACATCCCCAGGAAGCAGCCAGTAGCAGCTGTCTAACTCCCAGGTACCTATTTACTGCTAAGTGAACAGGCAGGCATCAGGTCGAAAGAAACTCTGCCCATATGTTTCCGCCTCCACCGGGGATCGAACCCGCAACCATAGGACTACGAATCCCAAGCGCTGTTCACTCAGCCATCACGCAGAGACGGAGTAAAAGCTTACTTAACATGGAACCATCACATTCCCGCGTAACTCAAGCAATAACTCTGATTTTCAATCATAAACAATACGTGCCTGAAATTATTAAAACAATATACCATTAGACGACATTTTTCCACAGGACATTTGGATCCAATGTTAAATAGAACAATTAAATATATTTATGTACGCATGTTGGTCTTCTAAATTCAGCGATTATTCCACGATTGTGAAGAGGGTAGAGTCTAATTACTCCGAGGCCAAATTCACGAAACAGTTACGCTTGCAAGCACTTACGAACCAGGGGCCAGATTCACGAAGCAGTTACGCAAGCACTTACGAACCTGGGGCCAAATTCACGAAGCA